CCCCCCCGCAGCAACAGCAAACAAAAAAGCACCCTCCCGCAGCAACAGCAAAAAAACACCCGCAGCAACAGCAAAAAACAAAAAAAGCAGCCCCCGTCCGGCAGCAACAAAACAAACACCTCCTGCAGAAACAACAAAAGCAAAAACAAGAACCCGCAGCAACAACAAAACAGCACACACACACACACACACCCGGAGCAACAGCAAAAAACAACTCTCCTACCTGTGCCAACACTTGTACGACTCCAGACTTTGACTAAGCGCCGGGAAGAACCCACTTTCCAATGCACGCGAAACGCCGTGCGGGAATCGCGAAGTGCAAACCCACCACTTACTCCTCTGCCAAAGACTGTCGCATGCAGCGGGCGAGAACGCAGATTAAGTTACAGGAAACTCGAATTTTTGCGACAGCCCAAAGCCTTAAAGCCCCTTGAACCACCGTCGTCGGATCCTGAAGAGAAGCCTGCGGCCTGAATCTCAAGGTCAATTGCAATCAGGTTTAGGGTTTAGGGTTTAGGATTTAGGGTTTAGGGTTTATGGTCAAGTGCAATCAGGTTTGTAAGGGTCTGAAGACTCAGACCCTAAACCCTAAACCCTAAACCCAAAACCCTAAACCCTAAATCCTAAACCCTATAACCCTAAGGAGCTTTTCAAGCGGAAGTTGATGGAGGTGGCGGGGCCACGGAGAGCAGCAGCTGGGCAGGGTTTAGGGTTTAGGGTTTAGGGTTTAGTGTTTAGTGTTTAGGAGGATTGACTTTCAACCTGTTGGGTTCGGGGTTATGTGGCTTTGTAGGGTTGTAGGGCAGAAGGATATCGGGTTTAGGGCGTTTAAGTTTTAGGGTTTTTGGGGTGCCGGCGAGATGCTGTTTGTTTCAGATTCAGATTTCGGGCTAGAGTTTTCGGTTTCTGATTCTCTCTTTTGCGTAAAGATGCCTGATGTCAGGTTAAAAGCGCTAGACATTCGCTTCCACTTCTATGTCTTCTTGCAGCGCTCAGTAGCTGGAGGTCGCAGAAGGACCCCCTGAATGGGGTCTCGGGTTTAGGGGTTTAGGGTTTCGGGTTTAGGGGTTTAGGGTGGTTTAGGGTGGGGTCTCACATGCCGCCTGAGCTAAACCCACATCGCCAAACCCGGCATGGGGGCGGAGGCTCAACAAGGCTTGGTGTCAAGACTTCGGGAGTCTGAGCTGGGAAGCAGGGCCTCGTTTCAATGTCAGGCTTTACATCCGGAGCCGATAGCCCCCATAGCCCCAATTCGTGAGAACGTGAGTGCATTTGGGGTGCTTGACAGCTTGACTCAAGCAGGTTCTTCCTGTCTGGTGCTTAGTAGGGAGTTGGGGAATGTATCCCTAAGATACCTTAAGGCCCTTATAGTAGTCCCTATGACCCATTCCCCCATTCCCTACTACGCACCAGACTGCTTTGTGACAACTTGGTAAACTTTCGGACTAGACCCCGAAGAATCCTAAACCCCAAACCGCAGATTCCTAAATCCCAGCCTCAACCCCAAACCCTGAAGCCCCCTAAGCCCGAAACCCTAAACCCTCTACCCCCCAACCCCAAACCCGAAACCCCCTAAACGCAACCCGCAAGCACCAAATCCCAAACCCGGCTCGAGGTTAGCCTTCGGATCCCCACGATTCTCCTCGCCGGAGCGATGGCGACCTTCTTCGCATGCATAGGCCTGGGACGCAGGGTTTAGGGAGAACGTCGGCTTCGAAAGTTTTGAGTATGGGGTTCTTGGACGGCTTCATGGGGAATTTGGGGTTTGGGGGCGTTTAAGGTTTACAGCGGGGCCGCTTTTTGCCGGAAAGGGGGTTTGGGTGGGCTTCAATCCTGAGAGTCCCAGCCTGATTCCAGCTGAGTGACACTCCTTAGGGCTCCAGTTACCTAAATTGCTTAGCGGGTTGCGTATGATATGGCTACTACTAACCTACTACTCAAGTAACTGGAGCCCTACCTGTAGTCTCCATTATAGTTCCTTTTTAGGAATAATCCTTCATATATAATTGGTTAAACTAAACAAAGGAACTACAATGGAGACTATAGGCAGACATTGCTTTGTGCACCGTGCAACCTCAGACCCTGACATACTCTAGTGCCTTCCACTCTGTATTCCCAAACCGATCCACACCCTGCAATACACCATAGTATACTATAGTACATTATAGTATATGATAGTACATTATAGTACATTATAGTATATTATAGTATATATGCCAGGTGTGGCACCAGCAGAGGCCAGCGGAGGGCAATCCGCATTGAAGGTGTTTTCCACCCTCAGATATAGGGTTCAGAGTAGGATGCAGAGTACAGGCCTAGCGGCCTAAGGGTATAGATTGGTTTGTACAAGACAGGTTCATCATTTCTGGGCAGGGCGTTGGGTTTGATGAAACCTTCGTCCCAAATACTAGCCGGATATTGCAAGTTCGTTGACAGTTATCAGACTTCCCGGGTTCAGACGTCTGTATACTGTACGGAGGAAACCTGCAGCTGTAGGTCAGGCTATCATGTGGGTAGTTCCCTACATCAGGGTCCTTTTTCAGGTCCCCAATATAGTACGGCACCCTAACAAAGGGCCCTGATTTTGAAAATTACCCATGGACTCACCGGAAGAACAGGCGTTTTGTTTCCCGTGAAGATCATAGGCCCCATAGTAGTTCCTTTTTGGGGATTACCTTAGATTCTAAATATGAGCCCCAAAAAGGAACTACTACGGGGCCTATGGGGTAATCACATTCAGGCTTTCCGGCTTTTAGAGTTCTCATCATCTACCTCGCTGACTGAGCTAGTTGGCTAAAGAGTCAAGAGGAAGCTACGCAACTAAGTACCTCACTCTGTAAAGGCCCCATGCTGATTGAGAACCTCCGCCTAACTCGGGCCTCCCAGTACGGTGTTGAGTGGCGAGTCACCATGATAGGCGTCCTTTGACACAGGCTCAAAGGCACCTCGGACAGGAGGAGCAGAATGCGAAGTCTCTACTTGAATTTGCACTCATAAAATCAGCCGTCGCAGCAGTCATGCACGTTTCAGCACTAGAAGTGCCCGGAGTACAGTTGCAGCCTTGTGATTCCGGCTCACTGGCCGAAAGCCATGGCACATCCATCGCTCAAGCGCGCGGACGAGTTCTTGGATGTGTTCAACCGCAAGTTTGACAAAAAGTACAGCAGCATAGAGAGCTTCAATGCTGCACGGAAGCCGTACTGGCAAATGATCCTCACTGGCATGGAGCGTGCCGAAGCCTGCAAGTCCTGCCCCTTCCTCCGTGCCATAGTGGCCATGGAGGTCGCAGTCCGGGCAGGGCACGCCGGGATGCTACCCCCGAAAGCTTCTGCCAAGATGTTCAGCGGCATCGAGTCGAAGCTCAAGATTCCCATCGAGACTTCTCAAGATGGGGTTGACTTGCAAGATGAGAAGATCCCGGCCATACTTGGGATAGCCATCCGAGGACTCCCGTCTCGTAATGAAATCCCAGCACCAGTGCTTGCCCGGCTGCTCTACGGGGCCGAACGCCTAGCGGTTTGTGATCACATCACTGGCTGGGTTAAGGAGGGTAAAGAGCTTTCCTACTGGGAGCATGACTTCAAACACTTCGCAAACTTGCTTTTAGACCACCTCGAAGTCGATCAGCAGTCTCGCGCCGACTTCGACGGCAAGGTGGCCCGAAAGATCGAGGGTGCCAAAGCCCGTCGCATGGAGGGTTTACAGCGCAGCATGCAGGATGGGTCTTTGCAAGAGATGCTGCAGCAAGCCATGCGGCCCAAAATCCAAGAGTATGAGGGAGGCCCCTGGCGCCCAATGACAGATGAAGAAATGGAAGAAGAGCAGCAATTCTTGCGCGGTCAGTCCTAGGGAGCCTGAGCCCGCAGGTCTTACAGTGGTTTTTTCAGATGGGAATGCTACAAGCGCATTCGTGGTGGCTACGGCCTCAGATGCAGGGACACTCACAATAGCTCGGAGTCCGTTTTGCGACAGCGAAAGCCACATGTGACAGGTTTGAGTGTCCCATGATACGTGCATCTGACACCCATAATGACACATTGATTTGTGGTATGTATGCACCGATATATATATATATATATATATATACGCATACAGAAAGCGTCGCACTCTATATGTATATATATACACATATTCATCTGCTTTTAGACAGCAGTTGTCATGCATTTACATATATACATACATGCATATGTACGTACGTACGTTCGTACATAGATACATAATAGAGAGACCAGGAATCCGGAAGTTGCTGCTCGCCCTCTTCACCTTTGGTTCAAAGATGGTGGACCACGACATAAATTCAGGGTCTTGCTGAAACGACGGCTTCGGACCTTAATCCTGACAGATCCAGAGGTCCCTGCACTCAACACCTCAACTTCTTAACTTAAGCGATCAAAGCTTTCCGGCGGTTTAGGGTTTAGGGTTGCCCTAAACCCTAAACCCTGTGGAAGGCTGTGCGCATCCGAACCGTGGCGGAGAGAGGCACTGTGAAATCTGTGTTCGCACAATTCGGTTTTGCAGGAGCTTCAGTGTAGTCTACTTAAAGGATCATGGGACTTAGTAAGTAGGGTTATAACTAAGGTAACTATACTTATAACCCCAATTAGGGGACTTATAACCTTACTTACTAGGTCCCATGATCCTCCAAGTACCCATAGGCCCCATAGTAGTTCCTTTTTGGGAGTACCTTACAGGATTCTAAATATGAGCCCCAAGAAGGAACTACTAAGGGGCCTATGGGTAGAATCACCGACTCCCAACTGCAAATCGCTAGACATCGAAGGAGGGCTAATTGATACACTAGACTATATTATACTATACTATACTATACTATACTATAATATACTATACTATACTATTCTATTCTATTCTATACTCATCTATATTACTGTATTATACTATACTATACTCTATTCTACTATACTATACTCTATTCTACTTTTTTAGGGGTCTTTTGGGGGGGCTCAGGGTCCGATTCTCTCGAGGAGGATCGAGGAAAGGAGTGCGGCAATGCAGCAACTGTTTGGATCCCAAAAACCCTAGGGCTCCAAGTATTCAAACGGTACCTACTTTGGGGTCTAAAGTCTGTAAATAGTACCTACTTTGGGCTATTTGGAGCCCCAGGGAAACTATGGGCCGTAGGGCACCTAGATAGATAGGAGTATTGGGGCTCTAGAGTGTGAATAGGGTTTAGGGTTTAGGGTTTAGGGTTTTTACCAGATTGTGTATCTTAGATTAACATCATCTTCCCCGGCAGTCAGCGGATTCAAGCCCACCTTGCTCAACCCTAGAACCCTAAACCTTGCATCCCTACCACCCTAAACCCTGAACCCTACTTAAAGGATCTTGGGACTTAGTAAGTAGGGTTATAACTAAGGTAACTATACTTCTAACCCCAATTAGGGGACTTATAACCTTACTTACTAACTCCCATGATCCTCCAAGTACCACCGGACACCCTGAACCCTGAACCCTAAACCCTAAACCCTAAACCCTAAACCCTAAACCCTAAACCCTAAACCCTAAACCCTAAACCCTAAACCCGAACCCTACGTGAGGCTTTTCCACCGATTTTCTGAGCTCCTGGCACCACCTTTTCGCTGGCTTTCCACCACTGCTCCTGAGACAGGCGAGCTTAGGGATCTTTGGGGTTTAGGGTTTAGGGTTTAGGGTTTAGGGTTTAGGCAGGCGAGCTTAGGGATCTTTGGGGTTTACGTCGTAGGGATCTAAACTTAAGCTTTCAGGTCAGGTTTTTTGTTGGGTTCAGGCTTTATGGGCCCGGTTGACTGGGAAGGACATACACCCCGAACCCACAGAAAAGGATTTGTTAACTTTCGGTCGTCAAGGTTTGGACTCTTCATGTGGGCTGCGCCCCCCCCGGTAATTCCGAAGCCCTGAGTTTAGGATTGGGTTCTACGGTTTAGGGTTTAGGGTTTAGGAACTTGAGCCCCAAACCTTACGGTGCCATTTTGGGACTCATATTCAGAATCCAAAAAGGTAATCCCAAAAAGGAACTACTATGGGGCCTATGGGTACCCTAGGGTTTGGCCATGAATGTGGGGGGATGTGCTTCCCTGTATAAACTTCGTCCTTTACCTGGCTCCGGGTTCGGGAAGAGGTGCCGGTTGCTGGGTTGAGTTCCAGACGTTGGGGTTGCAGCTTTAGTTAATATAGGGTGCCTTAATAACTAGAGAAGGGTTTTGGGTATATTATACTTATAATTGTAATATGGAACCCCCAAAACCCTATTCTAATTATTCAGACCCCTTCATTAGGCGTATACTATAGGCATGAGAACTTAGAGGTCGAAACTTTGCGTACACAAGTGGCACGGGCGTTGCTTGGATCTGGTAGGCGGAAGTCTGCGGAGATCTGGCTGTGGATCGTATGCCTCGCTTTCAACCAAAGCCTCAAAACTTCAACCCTGAACCGCATAGCCAAGACCCTAATCTCCGACTGCACCGTTTCCCAGAATCGTCTATGCCACCGAAGAACACACGACCGACCACTTCCCAGAGCCCTGAACCCTTCAAGCTTTAAGGTAGCTTGAAGCCCCAGAGCCCTAAGACCCTAAACCCCGAGGACACGGGCCGCAAAGACAACCAAAACAACTGAATCCGAGGAGGACCCAAAACCCTGAACCCTGAACCCGATGGTGCTCGGTCACCGGAAAATCTTCAGGTTTTCTTCGGAATGGCCAAGTTCCTGGTCTTCGACACCGTGGCAGCCTCAGTGCTCCGTTACAACTGACATGCGACACTACGGTCTATATGGAAGGCTTCTTTAAGTCTTTGAAGGGATAGATAGAAGGCAGCACTGGAATCTGTATGAAGGAGACCCTAGAGCTCTACAACCACAAAAACTACGCCCCGAAACCCTAAACGTTGCATCACTATGGCAGTTCAGCCTAGACCCGTTGAGACGCCTCAATCGCCCACATCTCCCTTATGGGACCTATCAGCATATTGCCAAAAAGACCAAACGAGGTCGCAGCAATGGTCTACCGCCAGCTCCCTTGGATGGCGAACAGGCAGGGCTTCATGGCGAATAAAGCTTCGGGTTTATTTGATGCATGCAGGCCGCAATTGGTGCTCCTGTACGATGCCAAGACATTTTTGCGCGTGCCCTTATGATCCACGAAGATTACATATAAATGAACAGAAAGAGCAGTACATCACAAGTCACAAACAGCTTAAGTTTAGACATGTCTTAAGATATGTCCGGCTACAACGGCTATAGTGCCCCCGCACGACCCACCAAGAGCCATCTCAGAATCTACGCCCCACAAACCGGCTCTGAATCCTACGGAAAGCATCCTTCGTATTTCTGTCGATGCATTGGTAATCCCTCCGACTCCTATGGTGGGGGGTTACGAGTATCCAGATGTAGGGCTTAAGAGGTTCGGCAGGGGCTTGGGTCCCCAAGGACTTTGCTTCTGTAGGGTCGAGAGCTTAGGTAAGGGTCTTGGAGGTTTCCAGAGGGTCAAGGCGTCAGGAGTTGGGCCTGCATTCTTCGTGCTTGTTGCCGATTCCTCTTTTTGGAAATCCTGTGAAACGCGCATTCCTAGACCCCAGACATCCTAAGCCGGAGACCCTAGATAGTAGTTTTTCGGCAGATGCCATAGGTCTAGGTTTAGCCGTACAGCCAATGCCGAGATCGCCAACTGCAGCCAGGAAAGGGACTTCCTCCATGGTGTCCATGTTTTCCGGCGCCGTTGCAGGCAGGGTTTCGGTAAGAGATCCTCTTCGTTGACGTTGCGATGCAGGAGCGCTTGGCCCAGAACCCGAACCTGTAAAGCTATCATTCAGTGGCCTTGTGAAGTGTAGTAATGCAGGACAAGGTTTTGCAGATGTTGTTTAGGCTCGTTGCTTTCTTTGAAGGGCTGGTGTCTGCTCCTGGCTTACGAATTTAGAACTTCGGGCTGCACGTCTGTCCTATCTCAATATTTCATACTTCAGTTCGAGGTTCAGGGTGCAGTATTTCTTGCAAGACTCGGCGTGTCCCAGTTAACACCCAGTCTCATGTCCAACTGGAGTTCCGAAAATAGGTGACCCTAATATAGTACCCTAAATAGTAGGACCTTATTATAAGCACCCCAAAACAGGGTGCCCCTTATTTTCGGAAACTCCCATTTGTTTGACCGACCTTGCAGGCATTATCTCCACCTTCGTGAGCCAGCCTGCAGACGCCATCCTCACGTGCATGTCGGCGACCCCTCAGCTAGGCCGGCTCTTTGAGACCTGATGGTTTAGGATTTAAGGTGTTCAGTTTTTTGGGCTTCGAGGGTGGGAAACGGAACCCATGGTTCAAAGGTTCAGGATTAAGGCTGTTAGTTCGTTCGATTTCTCCTGCGGCTGTCGCAACTGCTAGTAACATTTTGACATCGCTCACCATTATTGCGACTGACAGTCCTACTGCTACTGTTGTCAATCAGGCAGACGATGGCGATCAGTTATCTGTGCTAGCGTGCATCCCTCTCGAATCATGGTGTTGTCAATCTTGTCCAGGTCTTGTTGCTATCTGACCATAAGACTAATGTCCACTAATGATAATACCACCATGACGACACTGGCATTTCTAATCAAAGAACAATACCGACTTCCCTTAATTGGTGCGGTTATCTTTGTGTCAGCGGGCATTGAGAGAATCCACACAGGTAGTGAACTCAGGGACGCAAACCTCACGGGATAATCTCGAGGAGAGTCTGGGACCAGAATGTCTCCTCACCCCAGAACGCTGTGAGGCCCTGAGCCCTCAAGGCCTAAACTTCGAGCCCTAAATCTACGAGTGTGCCGTCACATCCCGCTGCTCAACCCAAAAGTCTACACTCTAAGCCCAAGAAGGATTTAGTGTACATGTACATAGATAGATAGATAGATAG